CATTCACTCGCGCGCCATAGTGAAAATTATACAGGATAGGTCACTTCCGCCTAATCTTGAGATATGTGAATTCAGATTTGATGTAATTGCGACAGAACATATTTTCTGGCTTTGTAGATACCTAGCAACACCAGGCATTCTTTCAAGATTATGAACTTTTAAAGTGTAGACAATTTCATCTTTTAATATGGCGTGTAATGAAGAACAAATTAAAGAAACTTCAAGTTTATAGTATCAAAAATATTTTTAGATGGTAAACCAAAAACTATCAAATACTAATAAATAACATTTAAACACACTAGTTTTCTTTTCGTGTAAAACTACACAATCACCACAATCCACTGCCTCGTCATGAATGTTATTGACATTGTCAATTTATCTTCATCCATATCTCATTGTTCTCACAATTGCTGCGTTGGTTCAGTGCATTTCAAATTTTTGCTTTAAAACACGAGCATCTTTTTGTTTGAGAAGCCTTTTTCCATTCGCAGCCAACAAATTTTATAAAGATGCTGTCGTCTGTCTGGTACAGGGGTGGAAAAAGTATCAAAAACCAATAGAAAGGATGTTACCTGTTCTGTAGGAATGAGCTAAGAAATGCATCAATTTTCACTGATAGTGTGATAGTATATAAATGTATAGATTAGAGAGTTACTGTATATGAGGTGTGATATCCGCCAAAATTCATATACTCAATTATGCCATTGGAAATTGCATTTATGAAGTTCAGTTATGCTATTATGATATTCGATATTAGGGACCGGTCATTATTTATGGCAGGGGTGGGGGCCGAAGAGAAAGTATAATGAAGCCGGAAAAAATCATTACCCCACCTTTTTCGAAACAAAATTTCTAGCTACCCCACTGGTGGAATGCCAGAAAATCTTTTTACCCCACCCAAACCTATTTTGTTGCAATGTCAAAGGTTCAGACATAAAATATGTAATGAAACAGTTTAGTATTTTGTATGCCCTTGATGAGTAAGATCATCTGCTGTTAGAGAGTAAATAATAATTATTATAGGGTGCTTTGACCACAGTGGACATTATAATTAAAAGGGAATAGGATTGATTGGTAATACTTGTTTACCAATATCCCTTGCCCTTATTTCTTGTGGAGTAATTAAAGCACACAACAGTCATGCCTTTATATTATGGGTTAGCCCTACAATAGCAAGGTACTATATAAAGAATTATAGTTATCTGAAGGCTTAAAATTTGTCTACTTGTAAAATTTAAATATGAATGGGTTTTTATAGTTTGTATTCAACGCTATATTCCCTTTTCATGAGATAGTGCAATATGCTAGTCCCATGCATAAACATATATTAACCATATGCTTCAATATTTTAGAACACTAACCGTATTTCACCACCCTATCTCTTTCCCACTTTAAAGTTTCACTGTATATAATTTGGTTTCTTTCACATTCTTGCATTTCTTTATTAATTGAAATGCAATTTTATTTTGAAACAGTTTCACAAAATATGTGCTCACCCATGATTGCAACTATCTAAATTCTAAAATTTCCTCTGAAATTCCTTTAACATTTCCTTACTATAGACAATCACATGTATTATCGCGGAATTTTAAAGGAATTCCTTAAGAATTCCCAAGGAATTCTTGAAGTTTATGAAATCAATTTAATAGTTTAATTTGTAAACAATACAACGATACTAAAGTATATGTCCCATGTGAGAATATCTGAATTTAGAAAATGATGTTACTGTAAATTAATGAGAAAGAGTTGCTGTTATACAGTGTGAAGATAAAGATATCAGTCATCCGAATTCCAAGTATGATTATATAAACAATTAAATTAATTTGTAAAACGGGTAAATAGATTTCTCTTATTTTATTCATGTATACATGGTCTCCTAGTAAAGAAAAACAGCTAGTTGCCAAAGACTCAGAACAATGTTTGAGCTGAACATATTATGATCTAGCCATTGGAATGATTCTCCAGATCGATTCACAAGGGGCATGGGGCATATTTCATGATTTGCTACCTGAATTGTCCACATGGTTTACAAGCACATACTGGATATAAATATTAGTTAACAGTATCAAATGTAGATGCCCAAAAATTAAATCCTGAAAATTTAATAGACTGTACATATACTTTTTGAGATATGTAATAAGGGGATGTTTATATGGGGGGCGAGGCTGGATGCCCGGGGTTAGGGGCTACAGACTTAAGGTCACTTTTCCTGAGGCAAGATCTCGGGCTAAAGGGGCGGGATCTCACTTAGCTATGGCTGGGCTCGCTCTTTACCCATATATACACAAGGTGAACTTTTAATAGTAAGAAATAACAACAAAGGCAGGATCTTGCCAAAACTGGGCCCGCTTGGGTACCTGGGGTTGGCTTGCAGTTGCACCATTTAAACAGCTCCTATATATAGGCAATATATATTTTGTCTGGTCATTGGAGTCTTTGGATATTTTGTGTGTAAATGAATATAAAAATGACCCTTTACAGGTGGGTTGAGGGGGGTGTTTCTGTCAACATTTTGGAAAGCAATAATATTTTATTAAAAAATTAGAATAATCACATATTAAACTCTGATAGTAGTATATATTGTATTCTGTGTGATTAAAGTAAGGTTATTTTTTTTACCCAACCTCTGCATGCAAGGATTTTTTGGCCACCCCACCTAAAGCAAGTATTATTTTTCAGTTACCCCACCATTTTCTCTTCGGCCCCCACCCCTGCCATAAATAATGACCGGTCCCTTAGTCAAAACAAAAACTACAATTCCAAGAGTAAAATTTTAAAAGATCATTTATATATATTTAGGAATATTATATTGTAGTTAAAAGTCAATAATTGGAGTTTACATTTAAGTTTATAGTTGTATACTTATACGCATATATCTCAATATGTTAATGCGTCTTTAGATTTTACATCAGTTATAATAACTGCTTTATAAATAATTTAGCGGGGCTGAGTAATAGCCTCGCCTACTAAGTACGTCAAACGTAAGCCGTATAATCGATAGCTTGATGCAATAGCGATTAAAAAATGCGCTCAAGTTACATCCTGAAGTAGTGTGTTGATTGCAATGTCCGACAGTGATAACATTATTAAATACAAAAGGAAACACGAGTTTTAAGTCTGATGTTTATTGATAGCTTTAATATACCAAAAGAAATTAGTTCAAACATTTTACAATCACCATTATTTCTCTACATTTTAGCTTCTCAGCTAACTTTCTGCTTATGCGTGAGATAATCAAACTGAAGCGTGTGAGCGTGAGAAATGATGCTGAGGCGTGTGTCACATGCTTAATGCGTGAGACTTGGCATCTATGGGAGGGGGAGAGGAGAAAAAATTGTTTCTGATATAAATAGTAAATGTATTAGGACAACCGAAGGGGGTAGGGGGGTTAACTTCCTATTTCCTCTGTGGGGGTGGTATGAATGTTTTCTGGAATGCCCCAATGTCTCTAGGACCAAAAAAAATGTGGGTTTCCGGTTTCCCGACCCTACCTAGCTTAAAAAAAATGTGGGTTTCCTATTTCCTCTTGTAAAAACTTAGTTAGGATAGGTCGGTTTTAACTTTTTTATAAACTTTTTTTTAAATTTTCCTAACAACTGGACGCCATTTTGTTTAGTCAGTGCTTCCATAAATTTTCCTAATTTGCCTCAAATTTTCATTTTCCACAAACGTTTTCCTCTAAGTGGAAACACAAGCATAATCCAATAAAAAAGTTTAGGGTCAGGATTTTGGCGTCCATTTTACTCGTCAATGGGGCGTCTATAGTTTAATGGGTTAATTATGTTTTTGACAATTTAACAGTTTTCATCATCTTCAAAATCAAAATTTACATCCACAACAAATGGCTTGCCCACAACTTTGTAATGACCTCCCTCTTTAGCATGTTGCACCATCACTATGCAACTAAACCTCATCACAATGAGAAAGTGATAATAATTAACCCATTAAGCTGTAATGCACCCAAACTTGCCCCACTTTATTATTATTTTACTGTTTAACACTAGATGATTTTACTCATCAAGGAGAGAGTCTTGTACTGTAGTGGGTCAATACAAAATTCAATTGAGGAACAGGCTTTTAGTCAGAATACTCCTTTTGGGGGTTCTCAATGCCATCTTGCATAGTGGGGCAAACACAATCATGGTTAGTAAAAACATTGCTGATTGCCTTGTCCCAAAGGGAAAATGAGTCATGGTATTGTTGCTCCACTGTGTTTGCCCCATGAACCATAGACAGGCATAGTGGCATCATTGCCTGTTTCTCAATTTATTTTTTTTTGCCACATCTTGTGGTACGAAACTAATAGCAATAAAGATGCCTAGTGGAATTTGTTGAGTCGTTGCACTTATTTATATATATATATATATATATATATATATATATATATATATATATATATATATATATATATATATATATATATATATATATATATATATATGTATATATATATATAATAGATTTGAAGATTTGTAATCCAGGCATTTTATTAAATTAGAATTTTTACAAAATTATACAGTGTTCTCCGGAAAAAAACCCCAACAAATAATTACAATCCGGAGAACACTGTATAATTTTGTAAAAATTATAATTTTATATATATATATATATATATATATATATATATATATATATATATATATATATATATATATATATATATATATATATATATATATACACATATATACTGAAATGGCATCATCCTTGCATATTTGGCAGAATCAACTCAGAATGAATATGTCTATTAATACTATTATATATAAATATAAAATGGGATTATATATTAAATTTTCATCATAATCATTTAAGTTCTATGACTAATACATATACTAATATGGAGTAAATGTTATAACTTGTTTAAGATGTTTGTTTTCAAGAGATTCCTTGAATTTGTAATCAAAATATTGAACACGTGTGTTGAAATGAGAATTATATTCTATAGATCAGTCCACTAGTCCAGGCAGACAAACTTTATCGACACAAGCAAAATTGTACTTACCCCTAAATAATCGCTACTTAAAGATCACATATTCTATATAAAGGTTTATCTTCGTGTAATAACAAATTGTTTGAAAGTTTTGCAAAAGAAATTATATGCGTATTTCTTCTTGCAGTTTGCTATAATTTTTTTCGATGTGATTATTCATTAGTTCCCAGCTCTCTCGGAAGTGACACTGAATTTGACCGGAAGTGAAACGTTTTTCTTCTGACATTCATGTGACATAAAAATAAATATGATGGACACTGTAAATATTGTGATATTTGGACGGTTTTGGTAACCGTAAATTTGCATTTTGTACGATTATCGTCAAGGAATCCAGGATTCAACATGGTAGCTTTAAAACTGATACTAAATATTCTTTGTATCATCGGATGTATTTTGAGCTATTGTCAGGTAACGGAGGGCACTGACTCAGGTTAGTATTAATGTCCATATTACTGTTGATGTATTATTAACACACACATATATATATATATATATATATATATATATATATATATATATATATATATATATATATATATATATATATATATATATATATATATATATATGTATATGCGTAAGTAGCAATGGCTCATCCTGTAGAGTGCTCAATATTATGACACAAAGGCATAGATATCTTATATACACTAGATAGTGCATCTAATTATTCTGAAGTTCAAAAATTGAAGCCGTGATTGCAGTCTCAGGTCGTTCCCATGAAATTAGAAGATTCGTATGTTTTCTATTTCTTAAACAGGGGACTTAAACATTAAGTTAACCCTATTCCAAATTCGTTTTTAAAATATTCAAATGATGAAAATTATTGTTGTTTTTAAGCGTTTATTAGCAAGTGGGAACGACCAACATGGCCGCCATCTATTCAAAATGGGGGTAACCGCTGGAATATTGTTGGCTTCAATTTTACTAAAAGAGATGCACTATCTAGTGTATATAAGATATCTATGCACAAAGGCCATAGAGCAATATCTAACTACAGACGGTACCGTTTCGGCCTTTTGGGCCTCATCAGTGTAGTGCTGATGAGCAGGATGAAAGTAACCACTATTAATAACTATTAATAGTGGTTACTTTCATCCTGCTCATCAGCACTACACTGATGAGGCCCAAAAGGCCTCTTTACCTTTGATGTCTCAAGAATGTGGGGCATCAAACCATTGCCAGAGTGCTCAAACTGCAAGCAGTGAGCATGCGCACAATGCGTAAGTAGCAATGGCTCATCCTGTAGAGTGCTCAATATGACACAAAGGCCATAGAGCAATATCTAACTACAGACGGTACCGTTTCGGCCTTTTGGTATATATATATATATTTAATTTTTTCCCATGTATATAAAAAAAGCTACTTAAAATATGTTACAATAATTTAAAGATTTTGGGCTAGAGACCTACTAGAAATCTTCATAGACTTTTTATATAGAAATATTGAATGTTTATACAAAGTGCAATTGAATGGTAAGAATATTTTCATGTAATGAAAGATGCATGAACTGTTCCATTCGAAGAGGCGGCAGCCATCGGATCAGATCAGTATTTGAATATATGTGACATTACCCCCTGACTGTAAACCATCCGAATATAAACCCCCAAGTATAAGCCATTATTACTTTAAGTTATTAACATCAAATGTTGTCCGTATATAAGCCGCACCCCATGACCCTCACCTCCAATGGTTTCACTCCTACCTAACGAATCGTAACCAACGTGTGACTGTCCTTGGTGCAACATCTAATACCCTCCCAGTAACTTCAGGCGTACCTCCAGGCTCAATTCTTGGCCCTCTCCTCTTTGTCTTGTACATCAAGTACATCAACGACCTTCCTGATGCAGTCACATCCAGCCAATTTGCAATGTTTGCCGACGATACCAAACTATATTCACTGTCAAAAGAGAAGACAACTGTAAATGCCTCCAAAGTGATCTTGACAACTTGCAAACATGGTCATTTAATAGCGTCTATCATCAATGGCCTCCCTTTCAACGAAAAAAAGTGTAAATCTGGCCCTTGTAAGACCACACCTAGGGTATGCAACACAAACATGGGCTCCACAGTCTGTTGAACTAATTGAAACAAGTTGAGCGCACACAGAGAAGAGCAACTAAATTCATCCTCGAGTTACCATTTTCCAGTACTATGGACTATACCACCAGGCTCTATCTCTCCTTCTCTTTTACAAGATATTACCCATGGACTTCTACACATAAATACATCTCTCTTTCCAACCATCCACACCTCCAGACAAACTAGATCTTCCACCAGTACTTCTGCCAAGTATGTCATTCCAAAATGCAAGACATCCACTTATCAAAGATTCTTCTTTATCCGATCAACTCGGATCTGGAACCTTCTCGCCGATCAACTAAAACTGGACACATGTGGCCTCTCTACATTTAAAACTGTCATAATGATTTTTAATTATAAATAATTACTCTATGTCATTAAGAACTTGTTACAATGTCAACGGTCCTCGTTCGTACCAAACCATTTGTCTAAAGTGTAACTCTGTTCGTAGTCTTAGTATTGCAATCTTGTGCTGCATGTAAAAGACTTATTGTTGTTATTTTCATATATTGTTTCTTATTAATTGATTATTGTATTTGTTAAATTTGTAATATTAGTTTTAATGTTAGTTTTACGGGGCCGTAGTAATTGGCTAAGCGCTGTTATGGACTCCCTGCCATTAATTGTATTATAGTTATCTACAAGGCAAAGCTAATAAATTAAATTAAATTAATTAAATTATACCCCCGTATAAGCCTTCCCATGTATAAGCCCATCAAGTGAAGGTAATTTACAAATATATTTTGCAATTCCTTTTTAACCTTTTAACACAAACTGGAATAAAATAGTAAGTTATTTTATATAAAGAACTTAGTAATACCAACTACCAAAGTGCATAGTCTTTTTTACTGGGTAAAGTGTTATATTTGAGGGTTTTTTTGCAAACAATCCATCTTTATAATAACTAGCAGTTCATATACCATACTGCTCAGGAGCCAATCAAAAGGCTGCATTTTGCAGATGGACTGTCTTCCCATATAATAAAGAGATTTAATAGTTTTTAAAAAAAAAAAATATTTTATTCTCACAACTGTGAGCAAATCTGAATCCGTATCTAAATCCACTACCACCCAATCCAGCAACCAGTCTCAAATATCAGTTGATGTGTATATAGTTTGCATAAGATAAGTTTTCATCCCAGTTATTTAAAAATCTTGGATTCTGATCATATCTTCCCTTCTATGTGGAAAATGTCCATAAAGCTGGGCAAAATATTTTTTGTGACAGTTTCTTACCATTCTTTGTTAAATTTGTTTACCAATTGAAAAATAATATATCTTAATTTATTTATTGGTTAATTATTATTTAACTAATTAATCGTAAAAATATCATAATAATATAATATTTAGACAGTGTCCAACAAACAATATTGAATTTTATGCAATCCATAGAACTGTGCAGTGGAAAAAATAATCATGTAAAAAATCTACGACTGCTATTCCATTACAAAATCAGTGGAATGGAAGTAGACTCAATTTGACCTGTTCAAAATAACATTATTTAAAATGATTCCATGGACTAATTGGAGTTGACCTTATAACATGCAGTGATAAATTCAGTAGAGCTGTGCAGTTAACCAAAAGATTCGGTCAGTACGATTCTTCTTTAGCACGGCAACTGAAAGTCAGCACTAGGCATGCACAAAAGAACCTGTCAAAGTCCAGTAGTTTTGGTCCCGATCGATGTGTTGCTGCTTCGTGTTGGAAAAATAACAAAATGTCTGCGCAAACAAAGTCAAGACATTTCCTTTTTCATAATTTTATTTAGAATTATATATTTATGTGACAAGTCTATCCCGTATGATGTTTATTTTCTTGTTATATATTGCAATTTATTGAGCAATAATTGCTTTGAATTGTCCTTCTCTTGAAAATACCAAAATCGACACCGAACTGAGGTCATTTCACCCCCAAAAGACCAGAACCAAGTCAAGATGAAGTTTCTGGAACCACACAGCTCCTGTCGCTTTATGTAATAGCGCTGTAAAGAATTAGATAAAGAATATCAGACGTTTGCAATTCTGATTTCATCGACGGAGATCAAAGAGTAAAAAAAAGAGAAACATATTTATTTGTGCATAGAACATTGGGATATAATATGGAAACAAGGCCATTGGGGCAAAATTGCAATAATTAAACAGTATTTAAAGTCTATTGGTTGCACGTGTCTTGTGGTTCAGTACAGGGGGAGGGCCTGAGACTCTGAGAATCAAAATTACAGAATAAATACTAGCGAAGCCGAACGTTATTAATCTGGTTCACATGACTAGCAATTCTGTCAGCGATTTTTCTCCTCCTGGAATATGTGATCGAATGAATGACATGCGAAAGAATTGTTTACTTCTGTATTTTTGTGTGTGAGTTCACTCATTTGCAGTGAACCAGACTTCACTGGCTGATAGCTAGTAGAGCTGTGCGCTGGAGTCGGAGTACTGGAACCAGAGCCGGAGCTCCGGCATATTTTGCCGGAGTTGGAAACCTCCGGCAGACAAAATTACGAAAAATTATTTCATATTTCAATGAACTTTTGCTAATGGAAAAATTAAGTTGAATGATTTGAAGTTTATACTATTAGACGTCTATAAAGTTTAATTACTTGCTCTGATCCGATTCATGGCTTCGAAAATTCTGCAAGCGCATTGCTATCGCTTTTGATACAAAAATCCGCTGACCCCGATGTATTTTGGGCGAAAATACCACGCTACCATGCCGTTTTACTTTCTACAAATAACAAAACATTGACATTGTTTAAACAAGCTCCGAAGCACGTATATTTGTTACGTAAAGGAGAAAGCTCAAAGGAATAAAATAAATTCTGAAATTACACTGAAATACTTTCGCCTGCTTCTACTTTTAAAAATTAGGCAACAGGGGCAAATGTAACTTATTAACTTTAATTTATATTCTAACTGATATGTCAAAGTTGTCAACGGGGGTGTCAAAGTTGTCGATGGGGGTGGGAGATTTAAAATGTCGTCCGGAAAAATTTTTGGTTTGTCGGAAAAATTTTCGGTTTGTCGGAAAAAATTTTCGGTTTGTCGAAAAAGTACTGCCCTTGGACCTTGCGAATGTTCAAGACGCTTCACAAGCCATTCACAACAATCGCAGCCGTTCATGTTGTACATAAATAGTACTTACAAATACATTGCTCTTTTTCTCTTCAAGATAACGTTAAGGGATCAAACGGAAGTAGTAATTTAACAATATGCGAAGAACGTCAAGGCAAGATCTTACATTTATCTCCAACTGCTGGTTATATTGGTGCTTTTGTAGCAATACTTATGTTTGGGAGTAATTTCATCCCTGTTAAGAAGATAACAACGGGCGATGGTATGTACACTAAGCAATGACCAATGTGGAGATTTGTGAAGAGTTTTATAACATTAAAACTTCGGAATCCATTTGTCGTAAACCATTTGTGTCATTTGTCTGCCCGCCACAATTTTGCATTTATTGTATATTATATGTTATATCAGACAATTTCTTACCAGAGCCCGTTATTTAGGCAAAATGTAAGATTTTAAGATTGAAAATGATTCATGCATGCAACTTGATGCAAGCAAAATTATAGCCCTTTGAAATTTGGTGAAAGCACTAAAACGAGACCAGTCACGCATCGGTGTATAATTAAATAAATCGGTGTATAATTAAATAAATTAAAGCATCTTGCATGACATTGTGTACTCAATATTCAAGTTATTAACAAGAAAACGTGATAAATTGGACAGTGATAATGAAATAAAATCGAAACATTGCCTTATACTGGGTGCGATAATTTGCGTACTTACCTATACCGGAGGTACTGTATACGCAGGGCTCGAAATAACGGCCGATCAACGATCAATGATCGACAGGAAATTGTTTTTGATCGGCGAAGAAGCAACGTTGCCGTTCATCTTGATCGGCAAGAAATATATTTGACCATTGTCTGACAGGCAGGCTTACCTGTACGCGGTAAAAGAGAAATAAAATTTACATAAAACACTTTCAAAAACACGCGAAAAACTCTTGTTTAGTTGATATTTTTACGAGTCATACGACAGGAAAAGCCGCAAGACTATATTCTCGCTATTAAAGTAATTTACTATAAAACAAATTTGCATGAAGTATTTCAAATTGATAGGATTTTTTTAGTAGGATTTTCTCTTTTAATATATATATATATATATATATATATATATATATATATATATATATATATATATATATATATATATATATATATATATATATATATATATATGCTTGAAAAATGCTTTTTTACAGAAAAATACAAATTTTAGTTGCCGAAAAGCAATTTGTTCATTACAACTTTTATAAAAACAATTTTGACCGAAATAAGCCCAGGAATTGTCTTTAAACTTGGCATTTAAGTTTTTTTAAAAAAAATTTATGTTTAAGGACACGTTGTACGTTGTACTATTTATATTTATACGTATATTTTCGAAGAATAGCTGAATATATGTGGAGCATTTGAATCAAAACATGTAGCACTGGCCAGTGTTTTTTCGATGTTTATGTTATTTTTTCGCATTTTGGTCGGAGAAAAGTACATTTCGGGCTTGGCACTAAGTCCTCTGAAGCGAATTCACTGTATTTTACTATCTTTAGTATCGTAAAAAGCTGCCCGCTGCTGCAGCCAATCAGATTGCAGGAAATAAAAACATATCACTAGGCATGCACAAATAAAAAAATAATAAATAATAAGTTTCAGTTCTTAATCGATAATGCTGCTGTGTTTCTTGCTTTAAAATACTCATTAATAATTCATAAACCTTGTGGCAAATCATGTCAGCGATAATATGTCACATGGAGCGACTTTATATCTGATAAAACTCATCTTCCTCATTAGTAATCTTTATGTAATTGTTCATCCTAATTAGTATTCTTTTGTAGTCGTATTTTAAGCTATTCAAAACACTCGTTGTCGTGTTTTATCAGACATAAAACGCTCGGCTGCGCCTGCCATAGCGTTTTAGTTTAGTACTAGATCTAACACTCCTACTCCTGTTTTAAACAGTACTTACACTATTAGAATTATACTACTTACACTATTAGAACTAATAGAAGTCCAAAAATGTCGTAGATTTAATTAAACTTGAATTTGAAATAAAGTTAAAATGTGTATTTACTATCATATTTAGCATTTTTTTCAAGGAAACTTAGGCAAATATGCTCCTGATCGGCCAGATTTGTATTTGATCGGCAAAAAGTCGTGATTACCGATCACCATGATCGGGAACGTTGCGAACGTTATTTCGAGCCCTGAATACGCCAATATTACGATCTGGTACTTCTTTGTTTTCACTAACGTACCACGTATAGGTACGCGAAACTCTTGTTTTCTGCGTACTTAACTTTTGGCTGGTACCACATGACCTTTCCAACTCCAGTGCATTCGATACCGTAATTTAATTTATCATGTGTCTGAGATGTCTTAGCATGAAACATGATTGGTCTGATGGTACTAAGGGAGTGTTGGAGTCGATTGGTTCTACAGTATATGCAATTGTGCTTCTTCTTCTAACTCCTAGTTTGAACATACTTTTCAGCAACCTACACTTTATGTACTTTATTTTAAAGACTAAAGGCCATGTTACACGGTGCAATTTTTCTTGCAACTTGCAATGCAATTCTACTCTTGAGAGATGTTAATTAGTGAAATCAGTGAAGAATTTTCGATATGTTGAGAAAACATCAGCGGAGTGTAATGAAGACTCGTATTTGGCAATTTTACATCTCTCAACAGCAGAATTGCATTGCAAGTTGCAAGAAAAATTGCACCGTGTAACATGGCCCTAAGTATACATTGAGACCAACGCAAGTACACTGCAGTAGTCATTGGCGTATCAGTCATGAGGTGCGACTAAAAATCTTGAATTATCGCATCCTGCTTATTTTTCATGTTGAATACGCGAATCGTCAGTACACAAGATGCTTTTATTCGCAATATGTTTAATTTGTTCTTTTTTTATGTCTTGAACTTGTCACCAATGAATATATACTGTAGTAACTAAACGTGATCGATATAATTCAAAACATATTGTCCTTCAAAAATCTTAAACATTGAGCGCGCAAGTTATGATGGGTGACTTTCTTTTTAGAGTCTTGCACTCGGGAAATTTGCTTCGCAACAATGCTACACTTTTTATGTAGAGTTATTTGGTTCACTAAGCCATAGATTATCGAAGGGAAGATGGCTATGAAACTCATAAGAGTAACAATATAACTAATTATCTATGTTAATAGTCAACGTTTATTCGTCAATCTGGTCCTAATTCACCGTCACTTGCGTATTATATTTTTGCCCAACTGACCAATAGCAATGTTTTAGGAAAGTTACCTATCCGTGACTCGAAAAATAGGGTAAATTGGAAATTGCTATTAGTTAATTGGGCAAACTGTACAATACACACGTGACGGTGAAGGACCAGATTTATGAATAAACGTTGACTATAACATACTTAGATAATGAGTTACATTGGTATTCTAATGAGTTTCACAGCCATCTTCCCTTCTATAGGCTATGACTAAGCCAATAGCCTATATCCAATCTTAGCCTCCGAATATGCAATACCCACCATACCTTGCAAACATTTAACTTAGATGTTTGTGACGTTGAATATGCTCGGCATAAACAAGTTGCGCGTTCAATGCTTAAAGTTTAAGATTTTTGAAGGACAACCTTTTTTAATTGGCTGTATAATATTATGCGGAACACGGATCTATAAGTCTACAGTTATTTATATATGTTATAATGATTAACATTCAGTATTTATTTTAGTCTTCATAATTATTATGAATATAAACATGAGGTATGACTTAGGAATTTACTACTGTTCTTGGTCTAGGTGTTTTCTTTCAATGGATAGTTTGTTCAGGAATATGGACGTTTGGACTATTTGTTCATCTTTACAATGGAGATGAAAGAAAATTTTATCCTTTGGTAATGGTGGGAGGAGCTATTTGGTGTACTGGAAATATGTGTGTGGTTCCTGTTATTAAAACAATTGGTTTAGCAATGGGATTATTAATATGGGGAACACTTAATCTTATTGCAGGATGGGCAACGGGCAGGTATTAAATCATCAATCTAGTGTTATTCATAATACTGTATAAACTCATGCTAATATGAAATATATATTGTGCATGCAGCATACTTTTCGCCATACACTTCACTTGTGGTAATATACCTAGTAAATAAAATTTTAGCTATGGTAGCAGTTTGAGGTTGTCCAACTTCGTACCCAGGCTCTTTCCAGTTTATGCTGTAGGTGTTACCTCACCTTCGTCTACTACACTCCGGTTTTGTGGTTTTCACCTTCAAAAGACAACCTAAATTTAAAATATCGTTCCATAAATATTTTTGAAAAAGTATACATTCTGTCACAAATGCTGTTGCAGCATAAAGTATTTGATATTAATATATTTCCTAATTACTTTCGAGCTTATTTTCTGTAATTGTTTTTGCAGAACTTTGCATACCTAACAAAGCTATTATATTATAATAAAATGCAGAACATTTATATGAATTATCCCTTTATTAACAAGTTTATTTATTCTCTAATGTATTTTTCTATGTACTGCAGATTTGGGACGTTTGGGCTAATTTGTAAACAGCCTGTACAACATTCCGCTATAAATTACGTCGGCGTCGTATTAGCCATGATAAGGTATTTCATGTCTGGAGAGCGGGCACCCCGGCCTAGCCTGCGAGCAGGCGTTTATTCGGGTTGGGAGTTTCTACTACATGTGTCATTTTTGAACTACACATTTAAAACGCCCAGATTTGTACCCGAATGCTGTTTCAAATACTTGTTATCAGGATGTGTTCACACCGCTTCTTCCCACCTTGGTTAGCAACAGTTTGTTGACGACTTGCTACAATTACTGTCGTTCCAATTGAAGTGTTCCTCAAATATTGATTCAATACATTACCTCGGGCTGACCAATTCATTTGATCAAGTTCCTCGAAATATTCATACACTTCCTAGTATAATTGTAAACTTCCTGTTGAATAGTTTGAATGCACCAATCACCTTTGTTGTTTGTGCAACTAACCAATCATAAATAGAAAGGAAGTGACCAGAAATGATCAAATACTTGGAATTGCCTCTTTCACAGGAAGTGTATGAATATCTCGAGGAACTTGATGAAATGAATTGGTCAGCCTGAGGTAATGTATTGAATCAATATTTGAGGAACACTTCAATTGGAACGACAGTAAGGTTGTTGATTCGACAGACAAGTTATTGTCACAAGTTATTCCAACAACTTGTTGTTGTATTGCAATTCAACAAGTTGTTAACAAGTTGTTAGTGATAACCTTTTAGCAACTTGATAAAATGACAACATTGTTTAGAAGAAGTTTGCTATAAGCCTGATGCGAACACATCTTGTTTGTCAAAGTGTGAGGTTGTTACGTGTGTATGCTTTTATTAACTAATATATTTTCTTTCAAAGCCTTGGAATATTTATTTTCATCAAAAGTGAAGATTCTTCAGGAAATATTGATTCCGACAATGTATGTTGGGTATAGTTTAATAATATAGATTTTTTACGAAGTCTTTCAATTATTTACATTCATTTTGAACTCTACTATCCACTAAACAATGCATTTTATGTTTCAAATCGAATGAGTAAACACGGCTACAGTTTACGCGTTATTCGAGGAATGTGGGTTATGCAGTAGATTTATGTGTGCTGTTTATGTGTTATGGTTAGAAACCCAGCTGTTGGAATAGTTCTTTTTGAACAAGAAGTTGGGCTTCTTGTGCTTACTTCTGTAATCGGCAGTGACCTTGAACGCCGGTGTCGAAGGGAGCCTTGTTTCTAGGCTTTCCAGGAGAGAAAAGCCTGGGAACGAGGTTGTGTCGAGGGCGGCTAGCGTATCAGTCAAATATATGCATAAATTGTATTAATAAGTGTATTAATAACGCATTCAGTTCTTTTCGTCCGGGAAAAGGCACACGAACAGGGAAACATAAATGCGCATAATTTAAGTATATGTATATAGTATTTATAACTGCTAACACTGACTATTGTGTACAGAATGTTAAAAGTTAACGTAACTATTTTAACGTGGAATTCTTGCATGTGAATCTTCGTTTAGGCAATTTTCAATAATGATCGCGGCGAAATAAATGTACGTCAAGATGACGAAAGTAACGATGAAGAAAATGTTTATCTGCTTGCCGGCGACATGCATCAGAATAATGATTCATCTTGGGTCGATCATTACTCAAACAACCAGAAGCGATTTATGTACGTATACAATGTCGACAATCTATAAAGTAACCACCCAGCGAGAAAAATATCAACTTCAGTATGAATCCCCCAATGTTCAATTCTTATGGTTGGTAATGATTGATACATGAAACTAATTTGAGTGTCAGTGACGTATTCGTAACTACATGGAAATATTTACACGTGCCAAAGCAAACTTCGCTTTTCACTTTTGTTTTACGCAAGACCAGATATTAAATAAAGCGATGTTTTCAAAGACCAAGTGATGATTTTTCGGCTACGCGCGTTCACGAACAAGTAAAAAATAATTATGTAGATAATTTCATTTGAGGAGATCACTATATAGGGGTGTAAAAAATAATTTTATTTCTGTGGGCACACCCTAAAAATAAAAATTCCCTGCAGAGTAAGTTTGTGTTAAATCTATACACGTAAAAATTTCACAACAAGATGTGTTCGCAACAGGCTTGTAGCAAACTTGTCAACAAGTTGTAACAATGTTGTTATTTTATCGAGTTGCTACAAGGTTGTCACTCACAACTTGTTGAATTGCAAGACAATAACAAGTTGTTGGAACGACCTGTAACAAGTCTGTTGAGCTCAACAACCTTGTAAGCAGCAAGTTACCAATTAACAAGCTGGGAAGAAGCAGTGCATGCGAACACATCCTAATGAAGTTGTTCGGAATGGCATTGCTACAAATCTGTTGCAGGTTTGTTATAACTTGTGCGTTTTATGTGTGTAGCCATAGGTTAATTTCTAGCTTGCGAAAACAGCCTCTACTTTGCTGCTCCTATTAATATTAATAGGAGCAGCAAAGTAGAGGCTGTTTTCGCAGGCTAGTTAATTCCCTGCAGCTGTACAAATTTCCTGCGAGCGGCGCTCGCGTACATTTTTCCATCACTGGAGATAAGCATCTGACAATAGTGAATGAAGACGTTCAGATTGACGTTTATGGCACACTACTAACCGCAAAGGGCCTCAAATCACATTTGAGGGTACAGTAAGTTCTACAACTGTTCGAAAGTTAAGAGCCTAAGTAGGTAACTCGTACTTCAATTTTAATGCACAAATTACCCTAACTTTGTACAGCTAATTATTGAGCTCAAAACACGTTTTGTAGTTTGCCGTTTGCGGTTGGACGTCTGCCGTAATGTGCTCTACTATTTGTCATTAACATTCTAACATTAGGTAAAACCCTGAAATCTCCTCCACAAATTTCAATATACAGATGTATCCTTAGCTTCCCAATAACCTGAGTTCTGACGTATTGATTTTGTATTAAATAATATGTACTTTTCTTTAGTGGAATATTTCTGTCAGTTATGTCGGGTATTTTATATGGCATTGCTTTTGTACCTGTTTACGTCATTCAAAAGAACAATGCAGATGCTCCAGACGAAGGTATGATATTTAATGTTTCATATTCTGTTGTGACATCAATGTAACTATCACCAGAAACATCCACCTCAACTTGAGGCATTTCGACCAAAACGATAATTCCACAGCATGAGCCTTAACAAATTACCTGTGCTTCCAGTTACAATACAATAGTAACTCCGGAAACGATAAACATTTTGAAAAGTGTTTACGCTAATATACACACACTACAAACACTTTTCAAGATGTTTACCGTTTTTGGAGTTACTATTGTATTGTATTGTATTGTATTGTATTGTATTGTATTGTATTGTATTGTATTGTATTAAAATACTCAGTGGTTCACACAACTTCCGGTTACATAACCTAAAAAATACGACACAGTATGTAGATCAGAAATATTTGGAAAATGTTTTGCTTAACATTGATCATAGTTTAACATTTCAAGAAGCAACAACTGTGTGTGTATATCATTGAACTATAAGTAAACTGGAACGATAAGTTGGCCGCAGTAGCCCAGTCCTTTTTTACAAAATAGATGCGAAAAATATATCTTATAAAATCGTTAACATTTTCTCACTTTTACTTTCTTCAAGGCATTTATATTTATCCTAGAGCTCATGTATGCAACACAGCTTTGATCTAAAGCACATAAAATAAACAAATATTGTTTAACCGCCGAAATATGACACGTACAAAACGAAACTCGGCAAGAAACTTGAGCGCCCAAAATTTGGCTTCACCCAAACATAGGCCTTCATCATAGGAGTTATCGTTCCAGTTTACTTATAGTTCAATGGTGTATATTCTCCAATGGCTGAAACAAATACTAGATTCCCCTTATTACCTTTTCGTAGCACTTTGCATTGTGGTTATAGTGGTACCACTGATATTCAAGATGGCTTATTTTTTGTCCTGACTCGTGCAAGAACTTTTAAAAAAAGCTAGGGTTAGGTGCGCGATAGCCAACAGCAAAATATTCGCGAAAACATTCAATATTTTCATTCGAGGCCGCTATCTTTATCAGTGATACCACTATAACCACAATGCAAAGCGCCACGAAAACGTAATAAGGGGAATCATCAATTGAAACATACCTGTTTATAATATATAGAGGCCTTCATCATAGGAGTTATCGTTCCAGTTTACTTATAGTTACTCAATGGTCTATATTCTCCAATGGCTGAAACAAATTAAAATATACCTGTTTATAACATATAGAGGCCTATGCATGCATGACAAAACGTTTTTTTAAGTAACCCACAGCCCTGGGGTATTTCGTAGAGAGAAATATTTCCACGGCATGCAAGCTGGTGTACTGCGCACGCCTAAAACTTGAAAGGATACACCCTTGAAAAAGCTGCACCTGCATGTTTATACCTGTTAGCCTGTGCGCACACTATATATGCCTGCATGCTTTGCCGATGGGGTGAAGAGAAGTCTGGTATCGAATACTTTGTGATTATAATACACCCTTTCGATAATTACGTCATTTCGCCTGGGAGCCTCGCTCTCATGAATCGTGAGCCAATCACCTTGCGTAATTTACTAATGAGAGGGAGACTCCAAGTCCAAAAAGTATGTGTGACGTAATTATCGAAAGGGTGCATGTATTAATCATACGCAGGAAGCCCTCCTTGACCAAAAAGCATTGCCAAAGTATTTCATTGTTTTATATCGTGTAGATTGTATGTGTAAACCGGATCATCAACGTAATTGGCTCACGCTGTGTTGATGTTCCTGAGCCGTTTTGTTCTTGTAACTGTTTAAGTATTGTTGGACGGCAAAGCTTAATAATAAATAAAAATTTAAAAAATATCACGATACTTACTCAAACCTGGAATCGATTTTTGTTTTTATTTGTTGTCAACAGGAATACAATATGCGTTCTCTCAATTTTGTGGCACTCTTCTGGCAAGCACGGTCTACTTTCTCATATACTGTCTTTACAAGAGAAATAAACCAGATATATATTCTGAAGCTGTAGCACCAGGGTTTATATCAGGCGTTTTATGGGCAGTTGGTGATGGTAGGTCACTTTATTTCTTGTTCTATACATGGTTACATATATATGTTGTGATCACGACTTGCAAACATGCATGGATCAAGATTTCTTGAAAAACATCAAGTTGCTTTCACTTCCATGATATTCATATGTTGTTTAATATATTTTTCTTTATAGTTGGGTGGTTTGTTGCAAATACTTATTTATCAGAGTCCATAAGTTTCCCTATCGTAACAACTGTAAGTATATATAGATTGCACATAGAATGTCACACTGCAATATTTGCAACCTTGGGTTATATTTTTGTGAATATTATAAATCAAATTCAAAGTGTCCAATCAGAAAGTTAGGTTTGTGCCACGTGAGTATGAAATTTACCATCGAATCGCGCGCCTTACGTTATCACTTCGGTTAATATTTCCCAGAAATCCCCCAGCTCGCTCTATACGTAACTGATAAAGGTTTTCTTAATTGATAACTATAATTATTGAGCTTTCGACTCGGTACTTCGAGTCTTCATCAGAATTATTTTACAATGGGTGATTCCAGGTCAATCTCGTTCCCCGAGCCTGCGATCCTCGGGAAGGAACGTGAGGCTCTGGGACAATCCGTTTCAGGGAGGAATCTGATTGGCCGTAGAAATGAATGCGTAGTTCAATCTTAGCCAGGATTCCTGGCTTCCGGCAACGGATTATCCCAGAGCCTCGCGTTCCTTCCCGAGGATGGCAGGCTCGGGGAACGAGATTGATTCCAGGTAAGAAGAACGAAATCCAACACCACTGCTAGAAAGAGCGTCTTAGTCTGAGTAAAACTGCAAAGATTGGTTGGTAAATTTGTAAAATGGAGAAAAATTATTAATGTAGCCGTGTGAACTTCGCAAATTTTGTATATATTTGTATTACGCACGGTAAAAATAACCACTTTCGGCTCAAAATGGTTATTTTTCCCTCGCGTCATGCATATATATACAAAATTTGCGAACTTCACAGGGTTATACATTTTCCTCATTTTACAACGATTCGCCACCAAACTTTGCAGTTTTACTCATTTTATGCGGCTATATATATTAATTTTATATATAGGCTATACATATTTACCAGTTCTTCAAAAGATATATGATCAAAAGTCAATTTTTTGCATTGTTATGATTTTTTAAATTTAATATAGGGGCCTGGAATTATTGCTTCAATATGGGGAATATTTGTATTTAAAGAAATAACGGTACGTGTAGTTTGTTTTAATTTCTTACGTTCCAGTATTTTTGAATTATTCACCTCAGTGTCAGTGAATAGTGCAAGGATATTTACCGATAAAGGTAGGACATGAGGAATTATTAAAGCCGAGGTTTGTGTTATTTTCGAAGCCTGAGGCAGATAACACAAACCGAGGCCTTAATAATTCCTCATATCCTGCGAGAACTGAATTCAATAATTGTTTTATTATTTATTTGTCGGAATACACAGAAAACGTCGGCGAACCTTTCCTTTGAGGAAGCCATTCGTATTTTGAATCCTGCATTCGCGGGATTAGGTGAAACGTAGAGTGCATGTAGTTGTTTTCAATATTCCACGGTGATGTCATAACTCCAAATTTGGGCAGCTACCGAGCGGAAATGACGATTTCAACGACAGCTCATTTAGCCATTCAAAACTCTTGAATTATTTTCAATAAATAATAAATATATTTATTACATAGACAACTACCGGATATAAGCTATTCTACAATCTGATTGGCTCTCTACTAACAGGATATTATATCTTATTGGATTGTCGAGTGATAATGTATATAAATTTCCACTCGACAATTTCCTCTGCAATACCCATCAAATATTATTCATTCGAGTGAGATGCCACTTCTTGTGCTGGTTCTGGCTTTTCTCTTTCATTTGTTTTCGAAATATCCGTGGGTGATCCCTATCTTCATGCAGGTTATTCCAGTCCTTGTAATGAGTTCCAGTTCTTGCTTAGGCGGATAATTACATGGACTGTACAGGATATCCGGTCAAACACTACACGCGTAAAAATTGAGAAAATCAACAACTTGTTCCAGATTGATATCAACAGGCGTGAACAAGGTTGTGCGGCCCACTATGAACAGTATTGTCAACATGTTGTTACAGCATTGTTCAACTGTAACAACTTGCAACAACATGGTTGACAACTTGTTCATAGTTGGCCGCACAACATTGTTCACGCCTGTCGATATCAACTTGGAACAACCTGTGCGTTTTTAGCAGTGTATATAGAGTGTTTTGGGGTAGAGTATGTGGATTTGAAGATATTTTTTTTGTATTTTGTAGGGATGGAAAAATTTTCTTCTTCTTGGCGTAGCCATATGTTTTGCAGTCAGTGGATCAGTAGTGACTGGTTTCTCAAAATGAATGCAAAATTATTAATTTTGTTACAAAATAATATATATATACCAATAATGAATGCTTATGAATGCAAAATATTTTCATGAGATGAAAGATGGCATTTTCCATTCCATGAAGAATTCCATCCTTCATGAAAATATTTTTACTATTGCACAAATGAAAACATTTATTGTTTGTTTTATATGACACCAAAATAAATCAAAGTTGAATTAAATACAAAACTTGAGTTGCATGTAGAATGTTTATAAAATTAATAGAAATATATACAGTATATATTTTAAAGTAGGGGGACCAAATTTCCTAATGTGGGCCGGGGGCAATTTTTATATTTCCTAACAAATTTGTCGCCCCCGGCCCATTTTTCCTAGGAAATCTGACCCATGAAGGAAACATATTTGTTTGGGAAGGAGGACATATTTCCTGTTACACCGGTGACGGGCGGTATTGGTAAAATTTCTTTACCCAAATAAAAATTGGGAAAACCGTGAAAAGATCTATTATCATACAGTACGTCTGCATGATCATTTAACAATTATTCGCCGAAGGCGAGGTGATAATCACCGAGCTTGAGGCGAATAATTGTTTTAGTATTTTTACACAAGTCTTTTGCGTTTTTTGGGACTGAATTTAGTTTAATTTCGCTTATTTCTTTTTCAGTAGCTTCCACAAAACGGCTGGCCGCCATTTTGCAAATTTCGGTTTTGTTATATTCACCTGTATGTGAATATAATATATATCACCTGTAGGTGAATATAACAGCTTTTAAGCGTCAAATTTGACCAATCAACTCGTAGGATTTGTTCTATTCACTTGTGCAAAAATACTAAAAACATACACACAAACCAAAGCCGAGAGAGACATCCTATCGAGTGATTTGATTCCAAGGTATTTTCGGTGTTTGTTTAAAACATGGTATTTTCGATTTGGCATACTGTATAACAACATAGGAATCTTATACTGTAAGTTAAATCCTTTCTTTAGAAAACAATAATTGAAGATGTTAATGATGTAGTTCTTCACTCGAAAAACATTAAATTTCCTGGTTATTTTAACCTTGAAAACAAACATCTTAAACAAGTTATAACATTTACTCCATATTAGTATATGTATTAGTCATAAAACTTAAATGATTATGATGAAAATTTAATATATAATCCCATTTTATATTTATATATAATAGTATTAATAGACATTCATTCTGAGTTGATTCTGCCAAATATGCAAGGATGATGCCATTTCAGTGTATATATATATATATATATATATATATATATATATATATATATATATATATATATATATATATATATATATATATATATATATATATATATATATAATTTTTATTATAATTAAATTATAATTTTTACAAAATTATACAGTGTTCTCCGGATTGTAATTATTTGTATATATATATATACATATATATATATATATATATATATATATATATATATATATATATATATATATATATATATATATATATATATATATATATATATATATATATATATATCAATAACAAATTTAATTGATAGAGCAAAATATACTAATTATAATCTTAAAATTTTATTAATCGCTACACAGTGTTTCACGCTTTCAAAGCGATCTTCAGGCGATACTCAGGAGTATATATATATATATATTTAAATGTATATTCGACCTGGACGTCGAAGTATAGTTAATTCGACCAGGACGTCCAGGTTAAATTAAACAGACTACGTTTGGTGGATAAATACACATGGGCCCCTAGCTATTTATTCACATAACATATATATAGTCTGGGTATTTTAGCAACTTGAAGAACGTCTTGCAGTGTTGGTCAAATATAACCAGATGTGTGGTTCCATTAACCACACTATGATAGCAGGTGAGATACAGTAACCAGGAAATTTAACCAGGAATATTAAGTGAACCCAAATAGTGTTATTTTCTTGGGTAATGTTAGACATCTACAAGGAGATTTCTGACAGTGTCTGGAATGGGCGGGGCGGGGGGTGTCTTCTTGATAAACATGGAAATTTCAGCCCGTATTGGCGCTGCTCCCTACGCCCCTGCATCATATGACCAATATACTGCAAAACATATAATTATTATAGAATATTATTTTGTTATTATTGTAATACAAGGTAGCTGCAAATATAGGATAGTATACATTTTAACTGTAACTGCTAAACATGAATATTAATATAAATTTAAACCATAATAAATTATTTTAACTATACACACTAAATATTTACTAATCATCTTAAACATGCAAGGTGTTCGCTTCATCAGCTATACATCACTTCAAACGTCCAAGAAAGTGTTTTTGCAACAATTTGTAAATAATTGTAATTATGTCTTATATACGGCTTCGTAAAGTAGCACAGTATAATATTTTGACAATTGAAGAAACAAGTTGTCAAACAAGTTTTACCTTTAGAAACAAGTTTTAACTTTTTTGTCTTGATTTAATTAGAAATTGTTTTAGTTGATAGAAAGACAGTACAGTACTATATACTGTATTATATACTTCCAAATTTTATACCAAATATCTGTTAATTCTCTAAACTAATTTATTCGATCGTCAAAATATCACAATAAAACTAATAAAACTGCTTCTATACTGGTCAGTACATGCTGACCCCAGTTTCAGAAAATTTTAACATATATCACGTTAATAAAATTATCCAATCACTGCTGACCTATAAAGATAACATAGTACGTGAGAGAATATAGAAATTACAGTCGAACCTCTATTAAGCGGCCCTCCATTAAGCGGCCACCCTCTATTAAACGGCCACATATTGAAGTCCCGAAATTTTTGTAATACAAATACTATAAACTATCCCTCTATTAAACGGCCACCTCTATTAAACGGCCGCGGCCACCCAAAGAGCGGTCCCAAATGATGTTTTATGTCAATTTTTACCTCTATTAAGCGGCCAGCCTGGAGGATTTTTAGGTTTAGATATAGGTAATGAGAACCATATTGATGTCCTATTAATAAATTTATGCCACAATAGTCCCTAAATGTTTGTTCAAAATGTTTAGGGTGAAATATGATAGTGTGATGGCCTCGTGTTGTTGGCACAATGTATGCCTGTGAAAAAATGTTGTAGTAGATGAAACTGAGAACTAAAGATAAAATCACTATTGTATTCTGTGATTTATAATTAAAAATAGACATTTGACTACGCCCAGGGTCTATTATTTGCGTACCTCTATTTAGCGGCCACCTCTATTAAGCGGCCACAAAGCCGATCCCCGAGGGTGGCCGTTTAATAGAGGTTCTACTGTATATGGTTAGATTGCAGTTATTATCGATTGACATTACATTCTATTTCTTTAATTTATTTTAAAACAACCGTGATTATACAATCATTGGAGAACTTAATGGACATATGATTTTTTTTCACTTTAGTTCTTTTCGAAGTTCATTTTTAAGCCGCACTATATGTGTATTCAAGATTTTAGAGCATTTTCATGCGATAGACAGAATGTGGAAGCATGTGAGGGTTCTTTTTTGGAGATTTCGACCACAAATACATCATTCTATAGACCTGGTGCACAAATTTTATAGACCTGGTCGAATATATATACAGATTTCAATTAACCACATTCAAGTTCATGTGCTGCCAATAGAGTGAAGGTTTTTGTTGACGAAAATTACGTAAGATATTGTTAGACCTGGGTGGGGTATAACCTCGTACCCAGGCTCTAAGATATTGTTAGACCTGGGGTATAACCTCGTACCCATAGCCCAGCGAAAAATGTAGCCATGCACGAGACTTTCCGGCAACCGCAAAATACCGGCACCACGTCTAGATTTTCGCTCGAAATTTGCATCAACAAAAACCTCTCAACGTTTTCAAGGACTAACTGTTTTATTTCTGCTGTACTCACTATAACAACTGCTAAATAATCATACCTATTTCTGCCATTTCCATTCTACCATTCTGCATTTCTTGATTTATTTCCCGCGTTTGTCGAAGCTAAATACAAATTGTTACTTGTATTATACAAAAAAAAGCATAATGCATATATATATATATATATATATATATATATATATATATATATATATATATATATATATATATATATATATATATATATATATATATATATA